CAGCACTGTCGTTCGCTCCTCTCACTGATTCCGGTGTGACGACACCAGAACGTCATGCTGTTGTTCCCTGCTGCTTGCAAGCCAACGACTTTCCAACCGTTTCTCGGTGGACTGCATCGAAGCAACATGGCATGAATTGCTTGTTTAAGGTAAATTTTTCCTCTGTCAGGAACCGAAACCGGCATCTTATGCCTCGAAAGCCGACCTCCTACTGCCCTCCCATGCGCCTCAGGCGACAAACCGGAAGGTCACATGATGGTCGGCTCAAAGAGATATTAAAGTGCGAAAAAAGATTCCATAAATTTGCTTAATGGAATATATACGTAGTTGGAAACGCGACATATCCAACCCTCTTTTTATGCACCGATCAATGAACCAATGAAATGATATGAAATTAGACGCAGCAAATCGGCTGATCGAGAATCCTTCGATTACGTAGTGTCGCTGGCTGCCGGTGCCGCTCGGCGAGCCATAACACGGTTGGACATAGTGAACACTTACTGCTCCATTTGGAATACTGTTGTTCAACACACAGCATAAAACTGAATTTCTGGTGCTTTCAGACTTCCGGCGGACAGCCGGTTCTCGAATGGTCAATAATCGCGAACCGGAAGCCATTTCTATAGCAGTCACCGGAATGCCGGCAATCAGCCAGAAATGTTTGGAATATTGCATCAATCAATCACAGCTTGTTTGGTTGGACAGGTTTCATGCTCGAGTATTCCGACACGCTGCAACTGCTTCATTACGCAATCTATTAATTCGGCTTCCTTTAAAGAAACTGAAAAAACTGCCCTCTGAGGATCTGTTTGCCTCCTCATTCGAAGCCTTTTAAATTGTCAATTAATTTTGACCAATTCTGGCACTGCAGCTGACTTTACTTGGACAAACGATGCAATTACCTACGAGAAGTTCGCAGCGAAGCGAGGGTTCACGAATTAATCAGTGACTTCCACTAATCCATGCTAAAATCTGGCAATTTAGCAAGATGGCGATGGCCGACGTTGCCTTCCCAGTATTTAACTGCCGACTGAGGCCAATCTACAGTCGCAAAGATGAGCAGGTTAAAATCCCGGTGAGAGGACGTAAGGGGCAGCTTGATTCGGTCGGCCATTGGACATGGCGCCAGCAGCGAAGGAAAATTCCCTCGCTTCTAGGGCAGAAGTGTCGAAGCCCATCTCTACGTGTCGCTAGTGTCGATTCGACCACAGATGTGCGTCGACGACCTGATGCTCACAGACCACTGCCTAAGAGAATCGGTGGTCGTACTGCAAAAGCAGCTAGCAAAAAACAAAAAAGCAAAAAACACAGTTTACTTGTACACAACGCGAAAGATACTGTGGTTGCCCGGTGACTAACCAATGCAGAACGTTTCATCCAGATCCCGTGTTCTGCTCCTTCATAGGAACACCTCTAAAGTTCAGCGGCGACCACCTGGAACCGTACTTTC